GAAGTTGTGACTAGAAACTAAACCCGCGTTTCCAGGTGGCCAGTGTCCTCTCTCCCACAGCTCACATGTGGGCAGGTACAGACATCCCCAGAACTGATGTCTCTGTTTTGCCAGTATCTGTCCGTCTGTGTCCCCTGACCCCAGTGTGTGTACCCTACAAAACAGAAGAACAGCTCCTTGAGGAATGTTTCTCCCATTTAAATGTTCCACTCACGGAACTTGCTCCCCATCAAGAGTGATACTCAGGAGCCAACGGGGTTGTGAGAACTCACCTGTGCATTACTCCCTTCCCCAATGCCTGCTATGCTGGAAACAGGTTTTGCGTTGCAGACAAAAAGATGAACCAGATGCAGCCTGGCCTTCGAGCTGCTTGGTAATAGTGTGAGAAACACTTGCAGCAGAAATGCTCTGTGGCATGGTAGGAGGGTTTTAAGAGAAACAAATGTCTACCTGAGACCACAAGAGATGGAGAAGAATATTTTCAGGCAATGACAATATGAGTGCCTCCAAATAGCCTCCAGATATCATTGTTCCTTTTTCTGAAGAGACAGAAATATCTCAAATTTCAATTGTTCACATTAGTCAGAGCCACAACACAGATACGATAGAAGGGGACTAAGGGAAAAAAGCCAGTTCTGAGCTTTAGCACATGCCGTGTGGATATCCATATCCCACGCCAGACAGCAGCTTGCTTTCCTGATTGTGTTTTCTCAAAGCAAATGCTAACATGGGTTTTATCCCCTGAGCACACACCAGCTGGATAGCAGGAGGAAGCCAGTTCAGCATTAAAAATTGACTGCAAACATTTAGAGGGCAGAATAAGTCACAGACAGATAACATGGTAGAATGTCGCATTATTTATAGCCAGGGGCCAATTGTCCTGGCCTATCCTGCAGCCCGACTCCCATCCCTGCTGGGGCCAGAGTCCTGTTATATGAGTCCTAATTGACCCCTTTTATGAATGTATCATTAGAAGTATAAACAGGGTCATGTGGAATTTAGAGGACATTAATGAGACCCGTGTAAATTTAGATCACCCAGAATGCAGTTGTTAGATCATTTTCAAGTGAAAAAAAAAAAACCAAAAATTTGCTTTTGCTTTGTGAATCATCTTCTCGCCAGTGACTGTCCAGTATAAAGGCTCTCTAAAGCTCATAAAGGGATGGGACATTAAGTGTGTTTCATGGAATAACTGAATTGACTTAAATCTCTATTTACTTTCACCACAGAAGCTCTGGTGAATAAAACGGAAGACCGTGCCATTTTCATCCACTAAAACAAATCTTTACTGAGGAGAAAAAGGAGGAGGAAGAAACTAAAATGTCAGTTGCTGACATTGTCATTGGCCCACCACTCAGTAAATAAACATAACATCTATTAGTTGTCATGGAAACGCTCTGTCTGGTTCTGAGCCTCAAAGCTCAACGATAAAGAAACCCTGATATTTGAAGCTCAGCACAAACAGCTCCTTTGGCATTTCTCATGAGCTCACCAGCTAGCATTTTTCCTGTCGGCTTCCTTCCTGGGACATGAATGCATTGGTTTCAGAGAAAGACGTGTATCTTAGGAACCTATCAAAAACACTTGAATGCAGTACCTTGGCCATCTCTGCTCTTGCCACTCCCCCAACCTCTCTCTTAACCTCTCTGCCTGAGGAGAATTTAAATGGCCCATTTAGTCACTGCACATTGTGCCTCCTGCGCTCTGCGCTGCATAAAAGGGGATTGATTGAAGCATTTACAGTAACCGGGTGGGCAGGAGGGACCAGGCTTTATGCTCGGCACGGAATGTTCTTAAATACATAATAAGCAGCCAGGACGCGGGTGGTAGATGAGCATGCTGGCATTGTCTCTTCTTCAGTGAAGACATTGTCATTAGTACAGACCTTGTGTGCATTTCCAACGTTCAACGAGAAAACGGCTCAGCTGTGTGAACATAGTTAAAGGATGCTTAAGCCTCCATTCTCCAGGTACTGGGTCTCAGAAATGTTGGCCAAGAAGGTCAATGTTTCTATACAATTTTTTTCTTAAATCATGGACTTTCTAGCACTTCCCAAAGCAGGAATGGATGGATTTAAAGGTTCCAGCTGAACACCCTGAAGCGTCAGGGACTCCATTGTTAGTAATCAGCTGAAACACTAGCCCCAGCTCTCATCTGAAGGGGACACTCAGATATTCAGCATTTCTAAAGCCCACGAGACTAGACAAGCTGAGCATAAATCAGAGTGATTTAAACTCCTGATTTCCTGGCATTTTTCCAGTGATAACCCCCACACATCCCTAACATCACATTGTCCCCCTGTCAGAGCTGAGGGCCAGGGTGGATCCCAGCAGCTGCAACCCCAAGTGTTGCACAGGAAAGGCAGTTTCTGCATCCCGCTGGGGCTCAGAATAATTGTCTGGACCCTTTAAGATTTTCCATTAGTCTCCTGAAGTGAGGTCCGGGGCAGGTTTTATTTATCCCAATATTCTAATAGGCCTTTTTCATCTTTTCATGTAACTATCTCTAGATTTTTCCAGATTTTATTCATCCATCTCTGGATTCCACAATGGTTTCAATATCCTGTGGTAAGGAAGTAACTGAGGAGGAGAAACCAAATGGCTTCCGAATGAGGAGGTTGGTCCCCGCTTCTTAAAGTGAGCTCAGATGTCACTTGCACCAGAATGGCAGCAACCTGTTGGGCACTGCGATCTGAATGAGCCATCCTGAACCAGAAATCCCTGGAGAGATGCTTCATCAATTTGGTAAATGCCAACAGGGGAGCTGGGGAAACCACCCTTAGTGTCTGAAAGCAGAGTCCCGGAATCTGTACCGTGCAGCCACGGGGCCAGGAACATGTAGAGACCAGCTGACATTTGCTGTGTTGACTTGAAAGAGTCCTTTGTTGTATGTGTTCCTCCAGAGAAAAATAATAGTTCATGTCCTGGGATATTTGTATACTTCGTGAAGGTGTATTGCCGTGATTGGTGTAATAAAAGGCTGAATGGCCAATAGCTAGGCAGGAGAGTATAGATGGGACTTCTGGGCAGAGAGAGAACTTTGGGGAGAAGAAAGACAGAGTCAGAAGCCAGATTCAGAGGAAGCAGGGTGGACAGTATGGAGGTGAGGTGATGAGCCATGTACCAGAATGTAGATTTTAAAATATGGATTAATTTAAGAACTAGTTAGGAACAAGCTTAAGCCAAGGTGGAACATTCATGATTAATACGTCTTTGTGTTGCTATTTGTGAGCTGGCAGTCACAAAAGAAAAAAATACAGCCACATATTCACATTCTCATTTTCCAGTTTCTTAAAAATTACTTCTCAGTCAGATTTGTCCCTTCCTTTTCAGACCACTCCCTTCCAGGGAGCTGGCTTGAAGAGGCAGTTTTCCTTGTCTCTTGACAGCTTTAAGGAGCATGTCACTCACCTTCTAGGGATGTCTGATGTCATGATGTCACGGTGTCACGGTGTCACGACAGGAGCTCAGGGTTGGGACTCAGAGCCTCCGTGGCCTTGACAACACCTCTAGCTCTAGCGTCTTCACAGTCGGACTTTTTGACACAGGTCACGTGTCACATACGGACTACCTCCTGGACTCTCTAATGCCAGCTAGTCGTGGAGTGAGGAAGGTAAAATTGGCACACACGCTTGGCTGGTTATTAAACCTTTACAGTACGAAAGAATGTAAAATTCGGCGTGTTGAGATTCCTGTATATCCTGTTTTATGTTGCATTTTCACCCTAACCTAACAGTTTCCCTGTATTTTAAAACATGCCTGGCAGGGGCTGGTGAGATGGTAAATGTGTTTGCTGTCGAGTGAAGCCTCCTGACTTGAGTTCACGCCTCAGAACGCACAGCAGAAGAAGAGCGCCAACTCCTGATAATTGCCCTCTGACCTCCACAAGTGTGCCATGCCATGCATGCATCCACACTCATGTGTGAAATCATAATAAACAGAATTTTAAAATATAAATATGGAGGGTGAGAATAAGTATGAAAAAACTACAATGCCATATATGTGTGAAACTATCAAAACAAAATCACTATTTTGTACATTAGTGTAAAAAAGTCAATTAAATGAAATATGCCAGAGTCTTGACCATGGATGCCTTCAAGTTCCCCTCCACACCCCTTTATGTTGCTCGGTGTGGGCAGTCTGGTTCCAGAAGAAACCTCAGGGTAAGGCATGTCTTTTAAAAAGGGAGAGGGAAAGGATAATCAAGCTGTCAGGGGACTGACATGCCTGTACGTTTCCCCTCCTGGACATAGCTCAAATGCATTGTGTGTCAATGACTTTTTGTTGTCTTCGGACACCATGGGAAAAAAGAGACTCAAATGGCTTAGGGTGGCATTTTATTCTGTATACTCCATCCTCATACATTCCGTATGGAGTAGAAGCAGTAGGAGAAGTGTTGGACTCTGAGGGACATCACAGTGGGACCAAGCAGTCGGTGTGGACTAACCATCCTCCTGACTAGTCTTCTGTGTGGGTCTGCCTTGGGATCCAGCACTGAAGCTACTGTTGGTGCCTATCATGCGGGCCTCCAAGGATCTGCTGAGACTTCTCTGGGGCCAGCAAGGTGTGGAAATAGCCCCATCTCCCCTCAGTGCAAGGACCCAGTGTCATTTCTCCAAGAGTATCCTTAGCAAATTAAGGAAAACAGAGTCAGTTTCTATAAAAACAGGAAAAAATGGGAGATCCGAAAGTCCAGATATCCTCAGTTGATGGGGAGATGTCCTTCTGTACATATGTTTCTCTCATTTGTTGATGAATAAAACCTGATTGGCCAGAAGGCAGGCAAAAAAATATAGGCAAGGCCACCAGATGAGGAGAATTCTGGGGAGGGGACCCAGAGAGAGGTTGAGAGGAAGATACCATGTAAGCCACTGAAGAAGTAACAGGTCCAGGCATTCTTCTGTGAACCAAGACCAAGTGGAAATACTTAGATTAATAGAAATGGGTTAATAATTAAGAGAGAACTAGCATAATAAGAAGCCTGAGCCATCAGTCAAATGGTTTATAATTAATATAAGCCTCTGCATGTTTATTTGGGGCTAAACAGGTAAGGTACCAGGCAGAACAAAAACTTGAGCCCAAACTCAGCTAGCCTTGCCTCCCTTCTGAATGTAGCTTGCTTGGCACTGGTCCTGGGACCAAGCTAGAACCTCTTATGCACCCATTTGGATTCGTTGTTTAACACACGTTCCATCTTTCAGCCAGGAGTCAAGTTGAATTCACCCTACTTCCAGGCCTGGCTGGGATCTCAGCCTTCCCCAACATCCTTGCTGATGCCTTCCTGGAGAGATACAAAGGGACTTTGGAGACAGGCAACCAGAGTTCATTTTTCAGTTCTCACTAACAGACCATGTGACCTTGCACAACCTAGTGACCAGTGGTCCCTGAGTCTCCATGTCTTCCTGCTAAAAGGAGGTAACTGTGTTGACTTCAGAATGTTGTGTCTAAAAATAAACTGAGACAAGATAAAAAGGAAGGAAATACCTGAAACAGCCTCTTCCCCAAGTCACAGGGCAAATGTCTCTCTCTGCCTTCCCCCACCTCCACCCCAGCCAGCCATCCTTCTGTGCCCACCCCCAGCAAGTGTTTGTATTCCGATTCCCTTTTTGTGGGGCGACCTGCCCCAGTCCATAACTTTAGGACACAGAAAGTGTTCCAAATGGGTGGAAGAAAATCCGGTAGTCAGGATTCCTGGGGAAAAGGCAGTAAGTCAAACTGAAGTGACTCAAGCTAGAGGTTAGAAGGAACAAAACTAAACCACGGTGTAAACGTGGAGAATCTGAAGCAGGGGTCTGAAGCTGAGAAGTGGAGAGTGGAGGCTCAGTCATGAGGAGAAAGGAAGGACAGAGCGTTTGCATCCCAGACCTGGGCTCATCTTGCCCTGCCGTGGTCTTACAAACAGCGAGAAGACATTTTCCTCATGACTTGATCTCTCTCTCTCTCTCTCTCTCTCTCTCTCTCTCTCTCTCTCTCTCTCTCTCTCTCTCTCTCTCTCTCTCTCTCTCTCTCTCTCTCTCTACACACACACACACACACACACACACACACTCTGCATCTCTCCAGGATAGAGAACAGGTTCACACGGCCAAGGGCAGGCTGGCCCATGTGGGGAAGGCTTCCTACTCAAGTTGGTAGCATGGTAAGGACCTCTGGAGAAGAATATCTCAAAGGGTCACATCAGTACCCACAGGCACATAAAGGATTAAAAAGGACATTTTTGTTGTCAAAATGACTGCAGGTGACCTACTATTACACAGAGGGATTATTATTGTCAACATTGTTGCATTACATAATTAAAAATAGTTAGAAGAGTATTTGAATGTTCTCATGACAAAGAAATGACAAATGATAAGACGATGGAAACCTAAATGCCCTAAACTGATTATTACACAGTATAGAATCATAACAAAAGTTACACTATAGCCATACAGATAAACGGTCATCCCTGATTAAAAAATGATGACTGGAGAGTAGTATTGACACTAGAGATGAGAGACAGAGGGTTGTGTGCGAGTGCATGTGTGTGTGTGTGTGTGTGTATGTGCATGTGTGTGTGCACGTGTGTGTGCATATGCAGTCAGTAGAGGGCAAAGGCTACAAGGACTTTCACAGCAAATGCTCCTCCACACATTCACGCAGAACTCTCTTAAGCAGGGACTACAGGCCTCGAGAGGTCCCTGGGGCCCTTTCAGGAGTGACTCAAGGCCAACAGCACTCTCTCGCAGCACCATGATGCCACTTTCCTTTTCCATTGAAGCCACCAGGGGAAATGCTGGAGCTGGGGTGGCAATTGCAGTGGCTACTGCACCACAGCGCAGTTTTACTGCTGTTTATCTCAGCTGGACAAACAAAACACCACGAAATTCCAGCTTCACTTAAAACACACCCTCCATGAAGCATTAAAATGCAGACTGCACTAATTCCTAGCTCTCGGAAACACACCTTTTAAAGTGCTGAACGTTGTGTCTAGAAATATGGCTTTGATTTTCAAGCTCAGCAGGCCTCTTTTCTTGGAACGCCATTTTTACCCGATTAAATGACTGACAGATAGGCTATGATTACTCTTCAGATGAACATCTTAAAGATCATTTCTTCAAAAGCATTTTTTTTCATTTCCAAGAAATTATGTACAAGGAAGCAACTAATTGTACTGGCAGCATCTTCAGCATTAAAAGCCCTCTCTGATGAAATCAGCAGCAATACTGACAAATGTCATATTGATATGGAGTACAATGTGTCAACATTGAGAAGCCTGTGTCCCTTAGCAAGCCAGTCTATAAATAAGTAATGCCCATTATAAACTCCTTCATGGCGAAAGAACTAGTCTATACACAAGACAAAACAGTGGGCTTCCTTGTAACAGTGGTGTTCAATGGTATGTTTCCAATTAACACTGGTAATAAAGCACTCGTGAATTGATAAGTTTTATGTCTTGTCAAAGAAAAATGTCTGCAATTATCTAAAAACCAGGTACTCACATACTCTGGCCTGTTCCAACCATTGTTCTGTGTGCAGCTTGATTTTCTTCAAACACTTCTGGCAAAAAAAATCACATAACAATATAACATAAATACCTAGTGTGTGAGAATCTGGTTGTCTTCAATTATGACAGATATCATAGAGATTTGCAAAATTAGGGGAAAAACTACTCTCTTCAACAAATCACCACTTTATAGAAGAGATTTTTTTTCTGGTACAAGAAAAAAAATCTAATTTTCTAAGTGTAGGACCTAACTCTATTCTACAGGAAAACACAAAGAACTTTAGAGTGTTGTACTGTATGTATGAACTTAAAGAAATAAAATGAATTGTGAGATAATGATAGATTCTGTGCTACTCAGTTGAAAACATGAGCAAGTGTCATTGATCACTCCAGGAACTCACACTAGCAGTAGCAAGCAGTAGTGGCAAGTAGTAGCAAGTAGTGTACGTGTCTCAGCCCTGTTGTTTAGTGGATGTGGCGTAAGCATTCCACACTCCACTTGGTCTTCTACTGCGGCTGCGTGAAAGGATGCGCAGACTGAAATGCATGCTGTATTATTTCGCTTTTTATGATTAAGCCATCATGATTTTGCAATTATGCATCTAACTGATTTATACCAGAAACCTCATGACCCTTATGAAAGGGTCGATAGGGCTGAGACGCGTTGTTTTAGCAAGAGGTGGAGGTCCTAAGAAGAGCTCTGAGGTTTATTCATAGAGAGGTGATAGCGGAAGCCACAGGGAAGAGTCAGCCTGTGAGACACTTGGTTTGCAGTGGCGTACACTCACAAGCGATGGGAGAACGAATACCGGCCCTGGGCAGCGGTAAAAGTCCCAAGGCGAGCACGCTCGTTCTTCAGCCGCACCCCGAAGCTTCCTTAGCCCTTGCGTTCCTGCTTGCTCGGCAGCTCCGGCTTGCACCGGTTCGTTCCCTGTCTGCTTTCCTGAATCAAAAGCTACTTCAGCCTATCTCCAAAACGCATCGTACCAGCCAGGCTTTCTCGAACACCAGATCTCATCGCACTCCCAGCTTAAGCTCTACTGCTTCTGTCTGAGACTCCAGGAAATGCTCTTGGTGTCCCAACTCAGAAAAGACAGGTGTCAAAAGGATGAAAGAGAAAGAGAAATGTGGGATGGAAACCTGAGGTTAAGTTCCTGTTATTCTTGGTCTGTCTTAGTCTCAGCTAAAGTCTCCTCTTCCTCCTGCCCGTGAGTTGTGAAATTCACTCAATTTAACGTTTTTATAAAAAGGCTAACAGTGTCACTCTCTTCACCCATGATTAAAATCCAGTTGTTTATTTATAGGGTCATTTATTGCTGAAATCTCTTCTTTAAAAAAAAAAACTATAATTGCTTCTTCAGTTTCCTTCTATCTGCCAGAAGATGTCATTTTGGAATAAGGCCATTCAAACTGGCTCAAAGCTGAGTGATAACTCAGCCAAAATGAGGTCAATGTAAATGACTAGCCATGGCAGGGGGAAATCTGTTAAATTAAATCCAGAGTAAGTAGCAACATATCATGTAGTGAGAGTTACATGTGTCAAATGAAGGAGTGTTATGAGGATTAATGAGTCCGTTATTAAAAAACGCTTTGGGATTCTTGGATGAATGGCATTGTTGAAAGTGGGGGCAGGGCTGGCATTTACAGATTGCAGCTATATCAAGGACTTATAACAGACTCTGGGGAAATATAGATAAAGCAAAATGGAAGGACCTAAAACATGTCTTCCTTATTGACTATGGTCTTTTAAAAAAAAACTATATTCAGCATATTCAGCAATCCAAACACTTAATTCAGAAGACCATGTAGACAGACACAAAGTTCTACAAAATGTAACATAAACTACTACATGCTGTTGCGGTCTATAAGAGAAATTCAGAATGGACATAGTCTTATTCTCCACTGAAGTTATATAAAAACCTGGTGTCGGAGTGGAGAATGTCAAAAAGTCCTCTCTCGGATGAAGAACAAACATAGCCAGAGGCAGTGTCACAGGCCCAGGCTGCTCTCTCCTGGGTTGAATTGTCACCATCGCTGACTCGAAGTGCTCAGAGGTCTCAGTAGACATCAGGGTGACCTTCCTTTCCCACACTGAAGAACTCCCTCTCCTTGGAGAGTTGCACAAAACTGTGGTGAGGTTCCCAATGCTGGTTTTGCAGTTTCAGATACCCTCCCCCAGCTCTCTGGAGGCTTAGTAAACAGTTTGTTAACATGGAATCTTACTTTGACTGATTCCATTTGGTCTATCGGGGCCTAGTATAGAAGCTCAGCCTACATCAATGACTTCCCGTGCATTTTACTTGCAATAGTGAGGACTTGCACCATGTTGTCTATGAAATGGCACCACCCAGAGAGGTATGCCCATTCTGTAGATTCTACTCTATTTTTAATTTCTTTTTACATGCAACAATTTTTTGAGATCATCCTGCATAAATCAATACAAACAGCTGCTTATACTGGCCCCATAATTTTGCACTTGTATATAGATAGATCATAATGGACTCAATCACTGACATTTATATTTAATGTCTTCTTGTTATAAAATATTTTAATGAGTATGCTTGTGAATGAGGAATTTTCTACATGTGCAGTGTACATCTAGAACAAATACTTTGAAGCAAAACTCTTGGATTATGTCATCCAAAAATGCCTGCATTGATTTCAGCAGTTTTGCAGAGCACAGGCATTTAGCTGTGAGTGTGCAGCCACTGGATCAAATGCCAAGCCCAGACCAATGCTCTTGGCTGCTCTTGAGAACAGGCTAGTTGCTAGAACTGCCTTACTGGCCAGCAGCTCATCTGACCATCACACTGGGAGAAATGATCAAATGGGCATCTTAGTGACTGGTCTATTTCGAATGTCAGAGGCTAACCCAAAGCCACATAAGGCACAGAATATTTGTATTTACTTCAAGGAAAGCAAGCAATTATCAAAAGGTAATAAATTTTTGATAGAGACCATATATCTATATTAACTATTGTATATATTATTATAATATATACTACTAAATAATGTAACAAGGATATGTGTAGATGTACTTAATGAAATGCCACTACTTGCAAGTCACTGTCTCCATTTGATTCCAAGACTTCACACTAGTTGTACCATTGTCTCCACTTTACAAACAAGGAGACTGAACCCTACATACATGCATTCTGCCATGATCAGTCAGCTAATAAACTGATGAAACAAAAATCGTGACCCAAGCACGGAAGACACTCAACCCAGTTTTCTCGTTTCCGAGAGGCTCCAATTACACAGGGGAGTGAATGCCCTGGTTCACTCAGCACTCATAGCATTATCGCATATTTCTTTCTTCAAGCTGTCTCACTAAGTCAGTGGATGGCAGTGTTTATGACACGGTTAAATCTTGGTCTCACATTCAAGCCGTCTCCTCTAAACAATACATGATACTTTTTTTTTTTTTTTTTTTTCAAAGGACGGCTTAGACTTCAGCTATGGGAACGGGGCATTTGAGTGCTGACTTTCCCTGCAGAATGCGTCTGATCACACTGGGCACTAGGGATGTTCCATCATTTACCCTCTACATTCATCACGGTGTGCTTGTTGCCTGTAACACGTTTTTTTTTTGTACCTGGATCATTAGAGAGACCACTAGACATTTTAAAACCAAATTGAGTTTAAATACATTTCCTTGACACATCTGTTTTGTTAAATGTATCCCATGAAGCCAACATTAAAAGCAATGCCATTAAGAGGGCAAAAGGTAAGCTCATTTAGTTGACCAAATTGTGCAACACAATGAATTAATATGGTAATGCGCCTTCGGAGACCACGGTAGATAATAGGGGTGAACAGAGGCGCTTGAGCTGGTTTTGGAAAAGCAAAGCCAATTCATCATTATGCTGTAACAATACAAGGGACCATTTCTCATCTCCAGCACACCTCCCCCAATTCTGAATGCCTGGGCTGTACTTCCTGAACACCAACTTTGACCGATAAGGCTTGACTTCCTCACACTGCTGCGTTTCTGATGCCCAGGAGCAAGATCTCTTGTTTGTGTCTTGAAGCAAAGCAAAGCAGGAAGATTTCAGGCATAAGTGAGAGCTGAAGTGGGTGTGGGAACTGCCCCTCACCCTGCAGGACGGTTAGCAAGACCCTCCTCACATAGACATAAGACAAGGACACACAGGGACGCAAACCCCACAAAAGATCCCAGCAGCCGTTCTCTTCCGGCAAACCTCAGAAATCACCTACTATGTGAGCTGTCACTCATTTCTTGGAACCCATCCTTTATTTGGTGGCTTGGGTTCTATTTTTATCCTGTCAGAAAGACCCTGATGAATGCCAAGTGTGCCTGGTCAACAAGGGTGTACCCTTTAACCACTTCAGGGGGAAATGTTACCTAAATACTGCTTCCTCTGGACTGCAAAAGTAAATATGCTCATTAGAAAAATGTAGAAGACACAGACAAGTATAAGGGAAAAAGTGCAAAACCATTCATAATCCCAGCTCTCAGAGTGCCGTTACTGTTTTTATGTATCTATCTCTATCTCGTGCCATTAAATAGTTTTCAAAAGTATAATTTAAGTTGCTGTGATAAAATGGTTTTAAAATACTTTGGAAGGTTGAGCACTTGGGTTTCTGATTATTATTATTATCATCATCATTATTATTATTATCATTATACACTTTCAATGAGAACATGAAGAAAAGCACTTTGATATAAACATTACACCATATTGGTCTCCTTCAGGAGAGATTTGTGAAATCGAGATTTCTGGGCCGAGAGGCGTGACCAATTATGACGAATCCACTGGCTACTGCTCAACCCCTCCTTCTGAATGTCTCCACAGCTCTGATGCTGCCAGCCTCTACACCTTCCTGACCCCTATTTCCTGTGCTCCCTGGTGCCCAGTCCTCCACCCCCTCTGCTTCTGTCTTCACAGCCCCTCTCTGAGACCCCTCCTCTGTGTGATCACTAATGTTGAATTTCCTCAGACATCCCCTCCCCTCTCAGTGGGCTCATCTGGGTAGACCCAGGACTTAGCTTGCATGTCAAACTCAGAGCACTGAGGCGGGAGGGTCAGGAGAGAGATCTAGCATGAACTGTGGAGTAAGTTTGATTCTAATCTACGATAAGTGGCATTGACTATGTCTCAAAAACAAACAAAAAACAGGAACAAAACAAAACAGAGTTTCCACTGTTAGCTCTGTCTTGGGCTCCCTTTTCAGTGGGGAAGATGTGTGTCCCTCCCATGCCAGTGTGTCGGGGACAGCTGAAATCCTTGCCTGCCACACCAATTCTGTACTCTGCATGCCCTATTTCAGAAGAAGAATGACTGCTACTGCTGAATGTGTGTATCTTGTCCTGGTTCACAAGGACTGTGCCCCAGTAATTCATTTAGTAGGAGCTTGCGTATTATCCAAGATATGCTATGCAAATGGATGTCTCCCCACTGATATATCTAGACCACACCGTCTGTCATCTGGGTGTTAATCCTACCTTGTGGCTGGACCCAATGTCTCTGTTCTACCAAAGGTCTCTGCTCTTGGTGCTAAAATTGCCGGGCTCATAATGAATGTTGTAAAGGCAACAACATCAAAGCTAAGTAGTGAAACAGACAAAAAAACACGGGGTAATAGCTTATGAGACATGCTAAAAATGATAAATTGAAGGAAAATCAAATTTGTAATTCAGCTAAATTTCCTCCAAGAATTAGTATCTGCAAAATTTTAGTTGTAATTAGACTTGAAAAAAACAAAGGTAGAGAATGCAATTTGTAAGACTTGGTATGGGCCAAAATGAGGGACGGGTGATTTTAAAAGGCTCAACAGTGCATTAAATCTTCATTTGAAAATAATTTCAACTATTTTCATCGCAGCATTATTTGTAATAGCCAGAACATGGAAGCAACCTAGATGCCCGTCAACTGAAGAGTGGATAGAGAAAATGTGTTATATTTACACAATGGAGTACTTACTACTCAGTGGGGAAAAAGCGATGAAATCTTGAAATTCGCAGGCAAATGGATGAAACTAGAAGAAACCATCCTGAATGAGGTAACCTAGAAAGACAAACATGGTATGTACTCACTCATAAGTGGATATTAGGCATAGAGCAAAGGATAATCAACCTACAATTCACAGCCCCAGAGAAGATAAGAAGTGAGGAGGACCCTAAGAGAGGCATACATCGGCAGCTGGAGATGGGGAAAGAGACAAGATTTCCTGAGCAAATTAGGGGGGAGGGAGGTAGGAAGAAGGGGAGGGGCAGAGGAGAACATGAGGCAGCAGAAAGATCGAGGCAAGAGAGGAATAGAAAAGGGAGCAAGAAAAGAGATACCAGAATACAGGGAGCCATTATAGGTTTAAAGAGAAATCTGGCAGTAGGGAAATGTCCAGGGATCCACAAGGATGACCCCAAATAAGAATCTAAGCAATAGTGGAGATCCCACCTTAAATGTCCTTCCCCTATAATGAGATTGATGACTACCTTAAATGCCATCCTAGAGACTTCATCAGTAGCTGATGGAAACAGAAGCGGAGCTGAACTCCTGGAATTCAGTTGTAGAGAGGGAGGAGTGATGAGCACAGGGGTCAAGACCATGCTGGGAAAACCCACAGAAACAGCTGACCTGAGCAAGTGGGAGCACACAGACCCTAGTCTGTCAGCTGGGAAGCCAGTATAGGACCAAACCAGGCCCCCTGAACATGGGTGTTAGTTGGGGGGCTTGGGCAGTCAATGGGGCCACTGGCAGTGGCACCAGTATTTATCCCTAGTGCACAAATGGGCTTTGGAATCCCATCCCCTATGGAGGGATACTCTCCCAGCCTAGATACATGGGGGGAAGGCCTAGGCCCTGCCCCAAATAATGTGACAGACTTTGATAATCCCCAATGGGAGGCCTCATCCTCCCTGGGGAGTGGGTAGGGTTTGGGATGGGGGGTTGGTGGGAGGCATGGTTGGAGGGAGAAGGAACTGGGATTGGTATTTTTAATTTAAATTTTAAAGAGGAGGAAAAAGAGAAACTAAAGTGAAAAACATTCAGGTGGGCAGTGGTGGCGCACACCTTTAATCCATCCCAGCCCTCAGGAGGCAGAGGCAGGTGGATCTCTGTGAGTTCAAGGCCAGCCTGGTCTACAGAGCAAGATCCATAACATCCAGGGCTACACAGAGAACCCATTCTCAAAAAACCCAGATAATAATAATAATAAATAATATCAGAGAAATAAAAATGGAGAAAATGCAATTATTTTAACTAAACTCTGAAAACCCTATTACGGAAACAGGTCTTCTCATTAGATTCTTCAACAGAGCATAAATGAGTTACTGTGAATAAAAGTGTGGTGAGCATATCTGCTTCTTCTCCTCTTCCTACCCACACGCTACACAGAGGGAGAAAACCAAGACACACCCAGCATCCATCCACAGCAAGGCTGGGTAGCAAGGCTGCCCCCCGTGTAGGAGATGCCCAAAGGCAGGGCAGCTAGAGCGTCATTCACGCACTTTTCATGGTTCCCCTGCACTTTCCTTGGCACCACACCTAAGCCTTCTGTGAAGACGATACCAAAACTCGACCCTGAGAGCAATAAAGCTTCTAGGTAGGACAACATCTGTGAAGCCAAATGCCCACCTAATGCTGTCTGCAGAGTAAATAATAGATTCTTTACTCTTGTTAGTGCTAATAAATCAACAGTAGTACTATCTCATTCTGGGGCCTCCAAATCAATATATTTTTAAAAGTCCCAATCATTTCCATGGGGAGGGAGGGGCATTGTTTTAGGATTAAATGAAGTCTTCCAAGCCAAATGGATGAAACCAATGTGTTCACTTCATGCCTGGGTGAACAGGAAAGTGATGCTATTCCCAGGTTCACTCGTTGACCTAACCACAATGCAGGCCTGAATATTCTTATTCCTGCTTACAGACCAAGGAGTCTTTGCTATCAGAGTCATATCTAAGGGAAGTCAAATTCGAACGTGGCCTCCCGGCTTCCAAAGAGTCTTGGTAGCATCTATGTTTCCAACCCTTTTCGAAGCAGGAGAGACATCTTCCGTGAGGCAAAAGAATGAACGGAAGCAAACCACACAAGAGATGTCTCTCCTGGCATGTAGAAGAATGCAGATCGATCCATGTCTATCGCCATGCACAAAACTTAAGTCCAAATGGATCAAAGACCTCAACATAAATCCAGCCACACTGAACCTCTTAGAAGAGAAAGTGGGTGGTACCCTTGAACGAATTGGTACAGGAGACAGCTTCCTGAACATAACACCAGTAGCACAGGCAGTAAGATCAACAATTAATAAATGGGACCTACTGAAACTGAGAAGCTTCTGTAAGGCAAAGGACACAGTCAGCAAGACAAAAAGGCAGCCCACAGAATGGGAAAAAATATTCACTAATCCCACATCTGACAGAGGGTTGATCTCCAAAATTTACAAAGAACTCAAGAAGCAAGTCTCCAAAACACCAAAGGACCCTATTAAAAAGTGGGCTGCAGAACTAAATAGAGAGTTTTCAATAGAGGAGTCTAAAATGGCTGAGAGGCACTTGAGAAAGTGCTCAATATCCTTAGCCATCCGGGAAATGCAAATCAAAACAACTCTCAGATACCATCTCACCCCTGTCAGAATGGCTAAAATCAAAAACACCAATGACAATTTATGCTGGAGAGGATGTGGTGAAAGGGGGACACTCCTCCATTGCTGGTGGGAGTGCCAACTGGTTCAGCCACTTTGGAAATCAGTGTGGAGATTCCTCAGAAAAATGGGAATAAACCTACCACAAGACCCAGCAACTCCACTCTTAGGCGTATATCCAAAAGATGCCCATTCATACAACAAAGATGTCTGTTCCACTATGTTCATAGCAGCTTTATTTGTAATTGCCAGAATGTGGAAGCAACCTAGATGTCCCTCACCTGAAGAGTGGATAGAGAAAATGTGGTACATCTACACAATGGAGTACTATTCAGCAGAAAAAAATAATGGAATCATGAGATTCGCAGGCAAATGGATGACACTAGAAGAAACCATCCTGAGTGAGGTAACCCAGTCACAAAAAGAGAAACATGGCATGTACTCTCTCATATATGGATTTTAGACATAGATCTGGGGAGTGCCAGCCTAAAATCCTATGGCCAGAGAGTCTGGGAAACAGAAACTTTATTTAGTGGCTGATCGAAGAAGAGGCAGACTCCCTTGGTTAAGTACTGAGCTGAACTCAAGAAAGCCAGTAACAGAGAGGGAGGACTGATGATCAAAGGGATTAAGACTGGGCTGGTTTAACCCCCAGAAACAGCTGACCAGACAAAGGTTAACTCTTGAATCCCAGGCATTAGCCTGGGAAGCCAGCATGGGACTGATCAAGACCCCTGAATCTGGGTGTCAGTGAGGAGGCCTAGGGAATCTATTGAGCCTTGGGCAGCAGATCAGTACCCATCCCAAGTATACACACGGACTTTGGACTCCAATAGAACAATGTGAGGTGCACTCTCACCCAGAACTCTTGGGAAAGGGTCTAGGCCCTGCCCTATATGAAATGACACACTATGGACACCCCCATGGAGGGCCTCACCCTCCCTGGAGAAATGAGAGGATAACGGGGGGGGGGAGGGCACGGGAGGAAGGGAGGGAATGGGAGAGGGACCTGGAACTGACTTGTGAAGCAACCTTGATTCTTATCTAAATTTAAACTGGAAAATAAAATTAAAAAAAAAAGAGATGTCTCTCCTGCTCAGAGAAAAACATGCTGCTTTGGAGTTTCATTCTCTCTGTCTTCCATGAGCTGCAAGAGGACCCAACAGGCTTCAGTAAAGAAGGTAGCCGCTGCACATGAGGGAGCCTCTCAGAGTCATGCATCAGTCTAGAGTACATCGTGGAGCTCTGTAAACCCCACTTACTCTCTTTCAAGACACCGTCCTGTGTGCACTGTCATGGTCACTCTGTCTTTGCCTTTATCTATGGAGTGAACAAATTGCATCATCAGCCAAGACGCATTTAACTTGAGATCATTCTGTACAGTGTCTGGTGGGAATGACTACTCTAGGGATCAAAAAGGTGAATCTGGGTCACATAATAAACCTAAGCTATAGATGGCAGCTGCGTATTATAGGGATCTCTACTGCATAAAAATACATTTTGTTAAGGGACTGGAGAGATGGTTTAGAGGTCAAAAGCATTCAGTGTTCAAACAGAGGACCTCAATTTGTTTCCCAGCACCCACATGAGGCAGTTCACAACCACCTGTAACTCCAGTTCCAAAGGATCTGGCGCCCTCTTCTGGCCTCTGCAGGCGCCAGCACTCACGCGCATGATTATACATACACACACGCACATGCACACACATACACACACAAATATGCTTAATTTTGAGAATAAATCTTTTAAAATATTTTTATATCTCCTGTTCTTATAACCTAGTGAAAGAATTATGTGAGATGACAGAGAAAACATGAGAACTATGCCATGCATTTGTTGAAAAATATTCATAATTCAAAACCTTGATTACATTTGTTCAAATCATATCTGATAGTAATAAAATATTTTCATTTTGATCTTTAAATGCTTCCTATATTCTCTTTTCTATAATAAGGTTTGTAATGGACTTTCTGACATACAAAAAAATAAAGAGAATTCAAAATCCTTCTCCCATTTTACTATGTTTTCTTGAGCTCTCAACTCAAAGCTACACTTGGACTTGCAGCCAGCAGCAGTGGATTGGGAGAAACGAGACCGTAAACCTGGGTGGCTGGCTCCTCCTGAGAAATAGCGCTTGCCTTGGAATCCCCTCTGTACGCAGCTGTCAATGCTCCTACTGACCTCCCAAATGAAGGACTTCCCATACAGCCGGTAGGGACTTGGGAATCTCAAAAGGACAGGGAAGGGACAGTCACTTCCTTCTTCATCTTTGCCTGCACAGCTACCTATCCTGGAAGGCACCATGTCCTCTCCCAGAGCCTCCCAGGGCATCTCCACAGAATCAAGGCTTAAATGAGGCCTCCCATTCCCTTC